ACGTTCAGTTACATATATAATATATATATATATATATATATATATATATATATATATATATATATATATATATTACTTCAAATATTATTCTTGTGAATTCTTTGTATTTGAAATGGACGCTCTAGTTACCCTGTTAAAAAACGAAGCCTCTACTTAAATACGAGTGGCAACTAAAAATAAAGATTGAATATATATATATATATATATATATATATATATATATATATATATATATATATACAAAAAAATTGCGGGTAAATAATCCAAGTGAATCCTAATAATATAAATATTAAAGCTGATCCACAAAGTGAACGCAATGTATTTATTACAGAGCATATATATAAATTACATAAATATCCATATATATAAATATATGTATGTGTGTGTGTGTAAGTAGACATTGTAGGCGACAGTATGTTTCAAACGCAATCATCAGGCTTCATGATTGTGTTTAACATGAAACAATCTGTGGCCTCTGAGTGTCCACTTTTATATTTACATATACATATACTCTATTTCTGATACTAGGCATATCTATGTTTTATCATATATATATATATATATATATATATATATATGTGTGTGTGTGTGTGTGTGTGTGTGTGTGTGTGTGTGTGTGTGTGTGTGTGTGTGCATATTAGTAAATATACATATTATCGTTTGCCTATAGCACGATACTGCGTTTCTTGCACAACGCAATCATCATGTGCTGAGTATAGACTTACCGTTACGTAACTTAAATTTTAATAAAAAATATCAAGTTATCGCAATGTTGGTGCAGTTAAATATTATATTGGGATTACAGTTTTGTTTTAATTTAAAAACTACATTGTTTTTTTAAAATAAACAGGATTTGTATATATATATATATATATATACAGAAACAATTTATACAAAGAATTAAATAGCAATATTAATGTGATTAATGGTGAAATCATTTCGCTAAAAGGACTTAGTGAGACAATAACTTACTCGCAATTCCTTGAGTAATAAGATACTTATATTGGAGGAGTTGTCAGGGCGAAGACAAGTACTTTCGGCAATTTCAAATTGTCATCTTCAGGGCGCAATTTTCCCATACATAAGCAAACACTAAGACGAAATATGTTTAGACAGAAAGATTTTTTAAAAAAATTATGATATGTAAAGACCGTTATAAATATATTTTAGATTTTGCGATACTATACTAAAAAAAAAAAAAATTCCGACTACACATATTTCGTCTTAGTGTTTGCTTACGCATGGGAAAATTGCACCCTGAAGAAGACAACTTGAAATTGTTGAAAGTACTTGGCATGTGTCTTCATTCTGACAACGACTCAAATATAAGGATCTTATTCAAGAAATTAATAGTAAGCTAATATCTCATTAAGTCCTGTTAGCGAAGTGATTTCGCCATTAATCACATTAACATTGCTGTTTAACTCTTTGCATAAATTATTTCTTTATGATATAAAATATAAGCTGCACACACTATTATATATATATATATATATATATATATATATATATATATATATATATATATATATATTTATATATTCACTTAAAATTTGGTCGTTTACAAAGGTCAAACTGACTTTCTATGCGCATTTTTTTCTATACGCCCGTTGATATACGATCTCCTACAGAGATGGATACTCTATTTAATCAAAAATTGCGTTTTATTAGTTTTGCGTGTTATTAGAATTGCGTGTTAAGCAAATTCCTGCATTTTATATTAAAAAAAAAACGATCGTATAAATTAAGTTTGATCGTTGCAAATGACGTCAACATTAAGTGATTTGAAATTGATTCCAGCAGGCTCAGGAACGACTGAATTTGCTAAACACGCAATTCCAATAATACACAATCATATATATATATATATATATATATATATATATATATATATATATATATATTTGAGTTATTGAAAATTACGCAACTCAGCTGCATGTATTGAAAATACGTAGTAAAATTTTTTACTTCTATTTGAATTCTACACACACATACATATTTTAGCTGTTTCTTAAATGTCGTTGCTCTACATATTCGATTTTGAATTATGTATGAGCACATTTTTTGTTGTCTATACCTTTCAGGCGCGGCTGTTTCGGTCTCCCTTTATATGTCTGTCTATCTATCTATCTATCTATCTATCTATCTATCTATCTATCTATCTTGTCACCTAGGTTTGTCCATATGTCACGTATCTATCTATCTATCTATCTATCTATCTATCTATCTATCTATCTATCTTGTCAGCTAGATTTGTCCATAGGTCACGTACTTTTCTATCTATCTATCTATCTATCTATCTATCTATCTATCTATCTATCTATCTATCTATCTATCTATGTAATGTATGTATATATAAAATGACAATTGGAAAAAAATCTGAAATTTTGCCGACGCGTTTCGTCTTCCGACTTTTTCATGGTAAAAAAGAAATCGAAATGTTTTTGTTGTTATAGTTACATTAAAAAAAATCCAAATTTAAAAATATACACGCTTCTGTCTAAGCCTTTTTTGTGGTTAATGTAAATTACCTTTATAGTAAGGGATTTTTTTTCCATGTCCACAATATAGTTAAATTCCCAGATCAATTCTGTAGACAAGACAGACGGGTATAAAATGACAATTAAAAAAAAAAACTTAGATTTGATCTTTTTAAATTTGGATTTTTTAAATGTAACTATAACAACAAAGACATTTCGATTTCATTTTTGTCTTGAAAAAGTCGGAAGACGAAACGCGTCGGCTTAAATCTAAGATTTTTTTTTCCAATTGTCATTTTATACCAATTTGTCTTGTTCACAGAATTGATCTGGGAATTTAACTATGTATATGTGTACATATGTAATGTATGAATGTATGTTTAATAGGCCTGTTAAAAAATTTGAAGAAAAAAATGCCAAAAAAAAAATGAAACCGACAGTGTTTGAATTTATTTTAAAAATAAATTTTAACAGCGATCAGCGTCTTTTTCCTCGACTGTTGAATGAACACGCTAAAAGCACGCATCTGATGTCATCGACGCTATGAAATGGTTGGTTGAATTGTTATGATTGTCCCTGATAGTTTTGCTATGGTTATTGAACAGAAGACCGAATTCGGTCCCAGTTTCTTCAACATAATTTCCTTTTTGTATTTGTGGCAGGAAACCAAATATATAAGAGTTGAATTGTCACAATTCAGAGCCGATGGTTTGAATAGTACGTAAGTGGCATGGGGTGTGAAATTGAGGGATTATTGGTATCATTTTGTTGGCATTTTATTCTTCAAATTTTGTTAAAAGGACTATTAAATCTACATCGATAACTATTTGTCCCGATGTAAACGTATTTTCGCTATCATTCATCTAGAAATGTCTTTCATAATACCAATTACATTTTTTTCAAATCACCGTGCTGATAACAAATATGGCGCCAGTTTGTTAAATTTGCGCAGATCAGTAAGAAAATTTCAGTGATTGCGCAGGTTAGTGTTGCCAACATTGTGTGAAAATTTTGTGTGAATTGATTGGACGGTTTTTTAAATATTAGACAAAAAGTTATCTCGATAATAATTTGGCACGCAGTATATATATATATATATATATATATATATATATATATATATATATATATGATAAAATATAACTATGATAAATTTAGGGTTAAAAGTGCTCAATATTCAATGTATGTGAATATAAAAGTGGACACTGGTCAACAGCCACTCTGTGTCCAATTTTCAAATAAAATGTTAAGTATTGTGCTCGAAAATTTTCCCGCAATTTCGAGCACAATTGTCAAACCCCTTTTTAAAATTGCAAAAATACACTAAAAAATATATACAGATACATTCTGTTGGTTCTTTTTCATCAAACTTGTCTGAATATATATATATATATATATATATATATATATATATATGTTTGGGTGTGTGTGTGTGTCGACAGGAGAATATTCTAATATAACTATCTGTCCCGATGTAAACGAATTTTCACTATCATTCATCTAGAAATGTCTTTCATAATACCAGTTACATTTTTCACGTATTAAACCATGATACCATGTAACAATTACATTTTTCAACCATTTGGTTTAAGACTATATCTTCTATTCTATTGTTAATTGACCTTTCCGAAGAAGGAAAATATTTGTACGTTGTGATATAGCAATTTAACAGAAAAAATATTACCTTAATATATTTTCATAGTATTTTTCACTTAGAAAATAAAAGGAAGAAAGAGAATAGATTTTGGAGCTAATAAATGTCCAGTAGAAATACGAGGGGCCGTTCATATTGGAGATGACAATAGACGGAATGATTACTATAACAGTAAAATAGTGTATATGATGTTTAATTGTAGGAAAGACGACGAATAAATTTTGAAAATTATAAAATTTCTAAGTAACAATTCCCAATTTTTCAACTAGACAGAGTAAATTCCGTAGGACGACATCATATAATCCTAAAATTTCTGCAAAAACATTTTCTGTGGCCCAAGATTTCTCTAATCCTTTTCCGCAAAAGATCTAAATTATATATTGTTCTTGGTCGATTGTTTTTGTTTCGAGGTATATCACATTTTATGGATTACAATATGCCAAAATCTCGTACGTAATTTTATTTCATATTTAAATATAATAATGGATTTGTTAAACAAGTGTTACTAACTCTCGGGGTGTATGCTCTTGGTATTGTCGTATCAAATATGCCTGATATTTTTCTATCTAAACGGTATAATGTCTCTTTAAGTGAGGTAATGCTTATTTTCTCATCCTAAACAGAACCGAGTCTTTCTTCTACAGTGTCGTTTAATATTTAATAAACAGTTGCATAACTTATAGTTTGGATGACACCTGTGGTGCAGTTAACGGCTGTCTCTTAATGGAATGTCATTCAGTAGCAAACCCGGGAAGACTTGATCTTCATAACTGCCAAATCTAGCGCTGCCGGCGCGTCTTTCTGTATTCAGCTAAGCCGGTCACGCAAAATGGCCGTACGCCCTGCTAAGTCTCTCTTCTTTCTTTGTTTACTTTTGCCACGAGAGAGATATTAGCCAGAACTTAATTGCCTGGCGAAGGTTGACCTTTTCGGAGAGGTTGTTAAGAGGCTTTATGTTTGCATCTTGACTGCTTTCCAGTTGATTAAGCATTACGTCGCACAATAATCCTTGTTCAGGGAGGATGGCATCAAACAAATGGCGAAGTAGGCCTCAAAAGACGGGCTAGGCCTTTCTAAAATCTAGCTTTTATCTCGAAGTTCTTTTATGCTATCCAAACTAGATTTGCCACATTCTTCGTCTTCTGAAACGAAATGATGCCACTTGCAATCTACCATTTCTATCAAAATAAAGAGGACACTTTCTTCGAGTGCTCTCCTCAGCATAAGACATTTTAAAGATTTTACAAGGCGGTATCAAAATCGCCCATACATACTGTGATAATACGGTTTGGCTGGGTGTCGTTTCAGCTTAGTCTTATTGGTACTCAGGCTACAGAGTTAAGCCTGGTTGGAAAGTTATAGCAGTAGCGTTCCCCGATTTAGAATCTCACCATGGTCGATTATTCAGTAAGTTGAATTCTTGATAATATGCATCAAGATAAACGGTCTTGATGGACAGCGTCGTTTGGAATTGCCGTAAAAACCATAACACGGGTTGACCCAAAACTTTTTGAATGAAAATGAATGAACGACATTATTTGGGCGCTGTCACTAGTCATACTCTTTCGTTGCCTTGGTTGGCAATTTATCTAGAAATGGTAATTGGATAAAAGTACCCAGCCCCGACCAGACCTAGTCTCTCGTGGGTATGTGGCGGTCTGTAAAAACGAACAATGACTGAAATTCTGAAACATCAGTTCTCGTACGATCACCGAAGTTAGGCAACGTCTAACATGTTTAATACTGCTCGATTGATTAGTTGTTTGATTTTGTTTAGTGGTGTATCAATCTCTATGGGTTACTTAATGACGAAATCTAAAAATTTGGGACGCATTTTTATGGATTCAACTAATATATACTATAAATAGTTACTGTTGGTAATTTTACTATAAATATGCTTTGTTGGTATTTTTTTTATATACAAATCTATTTTTATACTTTCATAATTTTTTTGTTTTTGTTTGGAGGTTCTATATTTGCTCATAACTGGGAACCTAACAGGTGCTACCAACCCGGGTCAGCGGGGACTTGAGAATAACTGCAATTAAGAGATGGTTCAGCGGTCCTCAAAACCTCCAATATTCTGATCCGAAGCCTTGCTGCTGGATGTTGTTTATCGTCATACCCAGAACTAGCGACTGCTAGAGAATACCAGCTGCTGTAATCTTGGACCCTACACGCAAGCCAGCAATCTGCCACTGGGTGGCATGCCATTAACGTTTGCGCTGGTAGCCCGTTGTTGGGCGGCCGGTCGGCCTGTTCGTCACGGCAATGTTACCATTGGCGGACCCCAGAGGCCTACTGGTGGCTAGCCAGTAGCTGCCACCAGAGGACCACTAGCGTTGTCATTGGCGGCCTGCTAGCTGGCCACTAGCTGTTGCGTGTAGGGAATGCGCAGGTAAGTATAATGGATAATGGCACGGAATTGCAAATTGGTGAGCCGAATTCCAATTCCAATTAGCCAGTGTTCGTTATCGTTTACGTGCAAATACCTCTGGAAAAAGTATGAATCCTCCTCATCTCCCCCAGGCTATGGGCTAATTAGTAAAACGTGTATCAGTAAATCATTATTATAAAATATTCTCACAATCTAAAAATATTTTCAAGTTTTAAAACCTGTAAAAGGTTGATAATCCGTAAAAAATCAAATCAGTAAAATTCTGATGTGGGCGCTCAGGAATAGCGTCTTTTTCTACTGAGTAAGTGAGACTGGCGATAAACTTCGTACTATCTTCCAGTGTTCAATAATGCCGTGGTTATATTGGAACGGTTGTGTGATCTTTACGATGCTTGACAACTTCGAACAATTTTCCTGGTTCATGTTTTGCGTGAAAACCGGTATGTGGGTTACCGAGACCATCCAAATGCTTCGCCAGGATTTTGGTGAAGATTGTTTTGGTCAAACACAGGAAAATAAAGTGCTTTTTGAGTGATGGTTGAATATCTCTTCCAAGTAATGAACTTTCAGGACAAACAAATCGTCCACGGGAAAAATTAAGTCGAAACAATATATGAGGATCGTCGTCAAACATTCTATCCGATCTCTTACATGAATAGGACATTAGACGATTATCACAGAAAACACGAATATCTATCTCGTTGCATCGTAGTAAATCGGGGATCATTCAGTAGATTGCCACGGCGATTATTTAGAAGGGGACAAATTTGAGTATTATATTAATTATATTATTTACTTTACATTATTTAACCATAGTCCGGAAATTCTAATTTTATCTCGTACGCGAGTGAATACGGCTATTTGTTTACTAAGTAACTGTATTTCAAATGATTTTATTATAGAAATATAGTAAAAACTTCAGAAGAAGAGAATTGTTACGCGTAAAGAATTAGTGCAAGATTTATTGAAAGGATAGAACTCTTATATGAACAATTATTAAATTATTAGCTGTTTTTAATATAGAAATGCATTGGATATAATTTTACTACAAGAAAGAATTTAACAGTAGACTGATGTATTAGCAAGCACAGAAATTAATGTTAAACTCTAGAATGACCAGATGTATGGCAGCTATAACTCTAATTGCCCAATGGGGAAAATAGATGTGTTGTAACATCCCATACCTTACAAACAAATCGAGTATTTGAATAGCACCCTGAATTCTCACTAGTCAGTGGTTACTCCTTGGATCGATCGTCTATTTAGACGAACATTCGCCTCATGCCTCAAATGGCAATCATATATACGTTCCGGGTCTAAAGACGTTGGTAAAAAATTGTATACCGCGTATACCGCTCCAGAAAGTATATGACTCCACCTGCCATGCCCTAATTTTTGACCAGATAAAAAAAAATGTAGTGTTGCTGCCATATTTGGATTGACGATGTCTAATTCTCTATTTCCAGCCTTCAAAGACTTCAAAAGCATCTACGCGGCCGTTTTCCCAGCAGATGTAACGTCGCAAGTCTATCCCTGTTCTGTCGCTGTATGCGGTGAAAGTGGACCGTTTGTCATTTAGGAGATGCATTTTTTCTGTGACCAGTTGCAAAATCAATATAAAGATCTAACCGTAAGTTCTATGCTGACAGTTTCTTCTATCGAACTTTTTCACTTGTGTAACTATCTTCCGACTTCTTGCTTCTCAGTCAACTTTGACCTTCAAAATTTTAAATGCAGTGTCAATCATTATCTTCTTTCGTCTTAATTCCTATTCTTTTGTGGTCGTCTTTCCATAATATTGGTTTTTTTCTCGTATCCGCTAACGCTCAGTAACCCATTGCATCATAGAGGCTTTATTGCCTTGCTTGCACTTCTCGCTTGTAGAACTCCCTCCCGGCCCCATGCTTTCCAACCACCTTTAATCTGCAAAACTTTAAATGCAATGTCAATTGCTGTCTACTGTCCATCTGATTGCTCTTTTCTTTCTCCTACTTACTAATGTTTCTATTTTTAATTCCTCCACATCTTGTAACCCCTTGCTGTACTGCCTTGCTTGGGGTGATACTGATTAAAAAAAAAAAAATTATCGAATGAAGAATGTTTTCAATGAAGCGGATATGGCATAGCGCTAAAAGACAAAACTTGCATTTTAATCAAACAGGACATGTTCGACAGAAACAGAAGGATCATATGGTTTGACATCCCGTTTTCAATTAAATAAAATAAAAAAAATATCGTAAGAATATTCAAAATCATCAACAAACGCTTCTCAGAATTCAGTAAACTGCACAAAATATTCAACAGAAATACTCTAAAACTAAGCTGTAATGAACACATATTACAAATCATAAATGTTTACAACAGGAAATTCACCATAAACACTCGACACCTCCATCTGTAACTGCAGAGCAAAGTACGAATACCCACAAAACGTTAACTGCTTACAAAGTAACATAATATACGCAGCTACGGTAAGATCAGAAAGAAACTCAGAAAGGATATATATATAAGATTTTAAAAAAAGACCCTATAAAGAGAGAAGCTACTTATGCAAAACATAATTTAACAACAGAAAATAACATTACTACCATATCAAAACATATATGGCAACTCAACAAGACAAACAAAAGTGCAATAGAAATAACATGGAGAATGTTAAAAATAGGACCAGCTTACACCTAAAGAAATCAAATATTGTCTTGAAAGCGTTACATTTCAGCTCTAATAAAAAAGGGTTGGACAGTGCATTTCATATGCACGTAGATACAGTAAAACATTTTATAGGGACTGGAAAGGGCAGGAAATTGTGGAGAGCGATGATCGACAACGTTCTGAAGGGACGCGGCACAGAAGAAGAAAACGTTGACGAACGATGAAGGAAACAATGACAAAAAAAGATGGTGTAATTATCAGTCAGGTCCGCAGAAAAAAAAATCAAAAGTTTAAAAAAAAAAAAAAATCAAACTCAATTCCAAATAGCTGATGCCGACTTGAAAATTCTTCTCTACCTCACTGCGCAGATGCGACTATAACTGACTTCCTTTTTTGATGATGGCTAAGGATATATCATTGACGACAGGGATTAATTAAAGTAACGACTTCAGTTTCCGATTAATGAATTTAGTTTGGGCTGTTAATAAGGGATGATTGCTCCATGCGAATTTGATTACCACATCCGTCACTAAATTCCATGAATAATGCTCAAGGCCGTCGACCAATGTTGAAAGTGAATCTCGTAGCCATCTAAGCCAGTCTAACAAGCAAAGACGATCATGTACCCAAGTCGGCAAAGATCAAAGTTGATAAATAAAACACTGGGTCATTTTCAAGTCCTTGTGCAATTCTAATTTGTCATAACTTCAGTTTTGTACATTAGAAAATCTGTATTGACAATCGTGATTCATTTATATTATGCCTGGGTTTCTGGAATTAAGAATTATTATTTACAGTCGGATTAAATTTCTCATC